GCAAGGAATGAGAAGATGGGAATTCTGTTTCCTTTCATTCTCTGTAGCACTTGAGAGACTTAAAAGTTTGCATTGAGATGGGTGAAAAAGATTGTCTTGTTTTCTAATTTGCATCCCCTTAAATCCTAGTAAATTTGACCATCTTCTCTTTTATCTATTGACCATTCAGGTTTTCTCATCTTGTAATTACCTGACATTTCCTTTGTCCAGTTTTCTATTGTAATTTAATAAGGGGCATATGCATTCTGGATACTAATATTTTATTGTATGTTTTGTAAATATCCTTTACCAGGAGTGATTTAAAAAGTAAAATGTAGCCGAAACCGGTTTGGCTCAGTGGATAGAGCGTCAGCCTGTGGACTGAAAGGTCCCAGGTTCGATTCCGGTCAAGGGCATGTACCTGGGTTGCGGGCATATCCCCAGTAGGAGATGTGCAGGAGGCAGCTAATCGATGTTTCTCTTTCATCGATGTTTCTAACTCTCTATCTCTCTCCCTTCCTCTCTGTAAAAAATCAATAAAATGTATTTTAAAAAAAAGTAAAATGTAAAAGTATAATTCTTGCCATAGGTAGTTAGGAAATTTGGTAAGGACTCAAAGATTGGAGAGTACTAGTATTTGTAGTTATGAAGATGCAGATTTACCCAAATTTCTCTGTCCTCAATTTAGGCATATCTTCTTAATCTAGGTTAAATCCACATTATTTAAAACACCTCACCTCTGTTTCAAGTATCTCATCATTGTTATACTATAGTTCTATTGCTTCAGTTTTAAGGGGAGTTCTTTATTCTTAGACAGGTAGCATGGAACTTAAGACATTGTCTTGTCCATTTCTTTTATGTGATAATTGTGTTCTTCTGAATCATGCTTGTAAGCATAACATTCAGAGACCAAGTGTATATATCACTATGAGGCGATTACATGGGCTTCATTCTGATAAAAGCCAAGTCCAAGGCGTGGTACTTAGAGTCTTGATTGGTGGTAGTTTTCTTAAACATCCGGCCATGGAAGTCCCACCAAAAGTCAGAATTGGCAACATTGTTCTTTCCTGGATTCTCTTCCATGACTTGAGTTTATAAATGGACACTGAGCAGAAAAGTAATTAAATGCTAGGCATAGGATGATGACTTCAAGACAGAACTCAAGCCGTACAATTTTTGCTTTGACTACAATTGGAAATAAAACTAAATAGTTATTTTATCCTTGGTTACAAAGCTCTAATGTTTTGCCCAGTCAGGGGTACTTGCTGAAAGGTAGTTTCTTCCAGTAATTTTAGGAAAAGCTGTCATTAAATTGTCAACAGCCCAAATTGAGAATGAAAGTACTAAGAAATATCATAATATAGCAACCTAAGAATCAGATTGGAATTTTAGGCTTTTTTAGCAGTGAGGTGGAGCAGAAACATCGGCAGAGAAAGATGCTCCGGCCTCTTAGGAAGGAAGTGTGGTAGATCTGTGGGAAGACGGCCTCCGCACCCGAGCCCATGTGTCCTGCCTCAAGCATTGGAATAGAGGTCATTTTCAGAACACTGTCCTTGTGTCTCATTTATCACAGAGGGTTACAGGAGACTTTGAATGCAAATGGAGAAACACATGGTGACTCTAGTATTTGAATTTTAATCATATTTCTGACCCCTTTTATATCATTGCAGCATCATCGATGCCTAATGATGTAGTACCTAGCAAGTCTTATCTACTTTTTAAAACATTTTTCTTGGTGACTGAACTTTTATCTTTCTGGACCCCATACCCTTGCATCAAGGTTAAACACCATGTATTTCCCTTGAAGCTGGAGAGAAGTAATGCTACCTGAAATCTGTCTCCACCTTAGGGACAGAGCTTCTGATCTCGTACCATTCAAAACTCTTTATACAAGTCTCCACTGAAAGCTGCTTAATCAAACATCTCAAAGGTCAGAAAGCAGGGGGTTGAAGGGTTTTTCTAGCAAGTAGGCCTAATCTCCGACTTACTTTTGATTCCTATAATGTAGATAATCTCTTTGGAGGAAAGGCCTGCTCCTAGCAGGGCAAATATATCCCATAGAATGTATTTCCTCTTGCAGAAGGAAAAATGTAACATTAATGAAATTTACTTTTTCATGAAGCTTTGAAAGGTTGTAAGCTTAGAATTTTGATCCTAGCAGATGTTTTTCTTTTGGGATATTAAAAAAAAAAGTAGTGTTTGATTCAGAAGTCTCAATGAGAGTTGCAAGGGTGATGCTTTTGCTGTAAGAAGCCACATTCTGAGTGTGACACTGGTCATCGGTTCTAAGTGACAACTGACTTCACAGCCGTGGTCCTTTCTTCCTGCTTTACCCTTCTTGGAAGTAGAGCAAGGCAAAGAGAGAGTTAGCAGCCTGGGTCACACCATATATAGAGTTTGATGGTTAAAGAGCTATTTTTGTACAATAAAAAAAAAAGCATCGTCCTAGACATATTTCATATCATTTTCTTATAGGCCTTGCAATAGCAAAGTTTTGTTGATAACCATTATATATATTCCAATTTCACTTGGGTTTCTCTTGTGAAATTCAGTCAGCAACCCCGATTGCGCGGTCTGTTATGGCTTCTATCCTTTCACATGATCACTTCATATCGTGGATTCTTCAGTCTTCATCCAGGCCACTGGGCCCATGTAAACCAGCCAAGTTTTTCCCTTCTTCACTGGTTTCCATAGAAATCTACTCACAGTGAGCATTTAATCTGTGGGAATTACTAGAAGAAGGCACATGACAGAAAACTAAGTCTGCATCATTTCCTGCCTTCAACCTCTCTTTTCTCCCTTTTCATTCAGTTCAGCACAATGAACAAATAGGCCCTTTCTCTCAGAGCCCTTCCTCCTATAGGCTCCTCAAAGCTTTGCAGTCTACCCTACACTCACCAGCATCTCACCTCAACGCAGACAACTCTTGCTTCCTAAGAAGAGTCTCCGTCAATACTGTTTTCTGCAAACCCAGATCCTAAGGAGACATGTTTGGCAAGTGAAGGTATTCAGTGTTTGGTGTTGCTTCACCTTGATATTTGCTTTTATCATGCAGGCTTCCAGTGACAGCGCTGCTGCCCCTCCAGAGTGCCACTACACACCCCTGCCTTCTGCTTCCAGGGAACTCACCAGTCACCGAGGTAGGAACACAGCTTTTCTTGCTCTCCTCTGTTACAGGGAAGGACACCTGGCTGTGTATGCTCTGGGCCTGTGACTGCTGCCTCGGTTCTTTAGCAAGAACACAGTGCTTTTCAGTCCTTAATGAGAAAACCGTACCTGTCAGCTCTAGCAACTTGAATTCGTATTAAACAGAATTTAGTGGCAATCCACTGGGAAGGCAAATAAATCCATGGTATAATATAATTTGGTGAATTTTTATTTTTTTTAAAAAAAGAGTTTATAGTACTTAAAAATTACTAAGATAATTACCTCCAGCAAAAGGAATGAAGAGAAATTAGAAAACTCACTAATATTTGAAAAAGTGTCATTGTTTAGGAGTATAATAGTTGAAATCTGTAATTTAAAAATAAACGAACGGCATATGACAGCTCAAAGGAATTTCAATTTGCCTGGAAATATTGAAGAGAATCAAACTGTAGTTTTCCCTGAATTCTCTGATCTCCAAAACAATTTGGCTTCCCCAGTTTTTCCAAAGCCTTGAATTCCTACTGCATCTCTAGAGTCGGTATGGAATATAATTTAAAAATGTCTTATCCCTAAGCTGGCTGCTGAGGCCACGGACTATGTGATCCCATTTGTTGGAACTGGTTAGGACAGGATGAGGCCCTGTGGTGTAACCTGTTTACCTCCTTTTAGCCCAGTCATGACTACAGACACGTTTCCTGATTGTGAACCTACCTTCCAAGGGTAAGTAAGAACAGGCTTAGACTAGGGGCATTGCATAGTTTAAAATTGTTTCCCCAAGCAGCAAATTCCCTTTGTCCGTGCAGTGGTCACTTAGTAAGGATGGTCCAGCTTTGTCATCCCAGCTACACTGAAGAGTCAGTGGGTAGGAGAAAAGGCTGTAGAAATGCCCAGAGAGGGGTGAGCTGGTCCTCTGAGAACTTGTGGGCTCTGGGCAAATGGCACATTTCTGTAGAAAATGGTCCAGAGGTCATGCCAGGTTCCTGTTGTCTGTGACTTGGGCTTGTGTTGCATCTTTGATGTCTGGGCACAGTAGAACTTTCCTACACTTAAATATACATTATTCCATTAGGGTTCAATTGTGATACAGTTCATTGCATGTCAATTTTGTGAAAAATCAATTTTGCTCCAAGTCAGGTAGAATAAATTGCTGCCCACATGCTATATTTTAAGAGGCGTGAATTGGTCTCCTTCACTTATTGTCCTCATGAAGGTTTTGAGCACATCCCTTTAGAGACATTTTTCAAATTCCCCTAGGATAATAGTAATGCCTAATCTAGAAAGAATAACAAATTAACCTTAGCATCATATCATCATGGGTTTATCTATTTGTTTGTTGTAGTTGGATGAAGGTGATTTTACTGTATATAGCCTGTTGAATACACTGCACAAGAACTGAAATCTCAGACTCCTTGTAAAAGTTGATATGTCCATGATATTGAGATTTCACAATAGGAGGATGTCATCAGACAAGTGTTAATCATGAATAAGATAAAGATCCTCTGTCATTGTAACAGTCAAGTAATAAATCTGAACCTTAAAGAGATGGGATATAAGAAAATAAGTTTTGAAGATATTTTGAGTAATATTTGGAATATGAACATTTTTGCCTAAAGTGGTTAGAGTGAAAATGGGTGCTCTTAGATGATATCAGAGCCCAGCATCAATGGGAAAAATGTTATTTAAAGGAAGCCAACAACTGGTGTCTTGATTTTACTGAAGAATATTTCTATACATTTATTGCACATGGTGTCTGATCAGTGCTAAGGACTCAGATGGTGGAAAAAGCAAAAAAGCATCATGAAATGATGGCCAGGTTTTTAGGGCCTTTGAACATGAGGAAACCAGGAAGAGAGAAGCAAAGAGGCTCATTAAGGCCAAATTATTGGACTGATCTATGTGGGGAAAAGATGAGACTGATATATTTCAGCTTGGCGGGAATCATACAATGACCAATGGGAAAAGCCATATATTTTGGCACCCAGAATGAAACCACTTAGTGTCATCTTTTAAAAAAATATTTAAGTTAAAAAAATTATTCTAAATTTCTGATCATATGAATTGGCAAGCTATTTGAGTGTCATTGATTAATACCCTCATGGAAACAGCTTACAAACATTTACCCAGATAACTACTTTCACATTGTGAAGGCAGGCTACATCACTTCTCTCCCAGGTGAAATCCTCCATGGATCTGAAATTTGGTCCACAAAACCTTAAGTTCTATTTGCAAATAATGTTTGATTCCTCTAGTTCCCAATCTCTTTTCATTCCGCACCAACAAGTACACAAACTATCGGGCAGTAGTTCATGTGAAAATTGCTATTTTTTGATACATGTCATTTCCCCTTTACTTGTCCTTTTATGTAACTTCCAATGTCGAGTATGATGGGCCTAAGATTCATGTCCTAAGGACTCTAAATTCAAATGCAAGAAAAGTCAGGGCCCAGGATAATGGTCAAGAGCTAGGGGACTCTATTTTTCCAGTGATGTGCAGTACTTCCTGCTTCCTGGATGAAACTTTTTTCTGATCTTATCTGTTTTTATTTTTCTCCTCTTGAGGTACTTATAATGTTTATTTCTATATCTTCCTTAGTGCAGTTGTTCCTAGTCTGCTTTGTCTGACAGAGGTCAGGTACAGGTACATCTTGAACTTCTCATAAATTAAAGCTCTCCGAGGGGCCATACAGATTTGAACCTGTCTTCCCTCTCACATTACTGACTCCTACTCATTCTTCAGGTATCGGCTTAAGTATCACAGCTCCAAGGGGATTCTCTGATCCCACCCTGCACATTTGTATTAGGTTGGGTTTACCTTTGCAGGGACTGTCTTCCTAGATAGGCTTTTAGCTCTTAGGAAGAGTAGAGGAGATTGTGTCTGTTTGCTCACCACTGTATATGCAGTGCCTCCTACTTAATAGAAATTCAGAAAATATTTGTTCAGTAAATGATAAGTGATGGACACCCGGGGGAAAGTCAGTAACTCAGATAGTAACTCTGCAAGGTAGGTTCACTGTATCTGAGAAAAGGGGCCCATCTTTCCTTGGGCAAGGACCCATCTATACCAAAGGGAATAGCCAGCCTTGTGGACCTCAGACCACAGCTCTGCTGCTCTCAGAAACCCAGATTTTGTGGACGGAAGCCATGTCTATTGATTCAATGCTAGACAGCATTTAGCAACATTGCATAACTTTTGAGTAGATAATTATTTTCATGTCATAGTTTTTAAATTCTGGTGTTATGATAGTAAGTAGAAAGGGGGTAGGACAAATGGAAGCAGCTAATGAGACTTTTACTAGAACAGAAGCTCTCAAAGAAGGGCCTGAACACTCAATATGATGCAGGTTGTGGTATAGTTAAGGTTTTAGAAGGCTCCATCTGAGTCTCTGTGAAAATTCTGCTCTAGGCCTGAGCATGTCTTCAGAGTGCAGGGACATGGGGCTGTGTCAGTGATCTCAGCTGCTACTGACTGGCAGTCCACGTACTATATGTGGGTATCCATGTTATGAAGAATGGTGAAATGTTTGCTGGAGAAATGTCTCTAAATATGCCATGTGCACGGGCCATTTTTCCACTCTTTATCTGGTGGCTTTTAGAAGTAGAATTTTCATTTATATAGACCATTGTGTCTTTTGGGGAAGACATTTCTATTTGGAGCACAGACCATGTCATCCTTAAGACAACCCAATAAAGTGGGAATGTTATCATTCACATTTAACAGAGGAAGACCCAAGAATTTCTAGAGAAGACTGAGTCACTCAGTAACAGAGGCAAGGGAAAAAGTGAAGCTCCCTCTCCTTGATTCCCAGGCCATTCCTGACATTTGTCCTTCACACAAGACATACGAAGCGAATGCAGGACTGACTGTGGCAGGGAGGGGCACAGCCTGGAAATGTCCACTGCTGGTGGATTTCCATAGCTTGTGCTAAGGCTGCAGAGAAGCAGGCATTGCCTATTTCTGTCAAAATAATTGCCTGTTATGTCCCTCCCCTTCTTTTAAATTACACATCTATCAGTTCTGGCACAGAGAAAGTTTGAGAAACCAGAGATGAAAATGCGATGGTATCAGTCTGAATTGAGACAGGGAAAATAGAAGACACACTATATATTCAAATTATGAAGGGTTTTACTGTAAGGAATGGGAGTCTTACACAATCAGGGAAGGACTGACTCAGGGAAACTGATACCTAGAGTCTCAGGTATCAGTCTGGGTATTTTAGGAACCCCCAGAAATCTCCTACTGAATTTCTAATCTACACAAAAATGGGGGTGATTCTCAAGAACTTCACATGGATACTGCTTCAAACATTAGGGCTATCTATACATTGCCCTGTCCTTCCTTCTCTCTGGATTTCCAATCTTACTCCAGTATCTCTCTTTGGCCCACTCTAACCTAGGACTGCGTACCAAGGTGATTCTGGGAAATGTAGTTTTCAGGTTTTCTTCTGAGTTGCAGAAGAGACCTTAGAAGAGGGGGTGGTAAAACCTAGTTAAAATGTGCAATCCAGCACATCTACCATAATCCTACCTCACCAACAGTTATCATGTTGAAGGTCCCCTTCCTGTTTATTTGCACAAATATTTTGCAAAGTAATTGTGAGCCCAATAAAAATCTCTAAATTATTAAATTTTTCCCGATGCTTATATAGTCTTGAAGATGGGCCATAGTTAGTTAGCTTATCATATCAAGAACTGGAATTTAAATGTATAAAAGAAAGAAAGGAAGCAAGAAACCAGGAGGAAATCTGCTATGAAAACTTGCTTGGAGATGATATCTGTCCTGCCTCCATCCATCCTTGGCAATCGTGCCATTCTATTTATTGGCACAGTTGTTAGGTGCTTATCCTCTTCTCCAACAAGGGGCTTGGTCTATTTGTCTTTGAAATTGATTGCTGAAACTGTCAGAGAGTGATTTACATAGCAACTTATCATAATTAGTTATTGTTTGCAGTTTCCTTAATGTGAATTGCATTTTATGCTTAGCAATTGATTTTTCT